ATGTCAAAGTCCCCGCGAAGTGTTCCCTTCACGTTTTCCTGCAAAGCAAAAAAATGAAAATAGAACTCGTCCCTTTAAAAAAGTATTGAAACAAAAAGTAAAAATCCAAGAGTCATCGAGTGAACTTGACAACAAATTTCCGATGTATTTTTAGCTGCAGATGTATCAATTTCAGTGATAAAAAATAAAAGAGAAAAAAAATCCAGTTATTTTAAGGATGTGTTACACCCTTTCCGCCCAAATTCACGTTTTTTTAATTTTTCTGGTAAATTGTTGATCAGATTGACGTGAAAAAATATACCGTTTTTGCGTTATATCATTACTTAATGACTTACGAAATGTCATGATCGTGCAATCATTTTCCTGCGTTTTTTCTAAAACTTTTCAGAAATTTACAAGACTAGAAAAAATGCAGAAAAATGATTGCACTACCATGAAATTGTGTGAGTCAGTCAATAATGATAAAACGCAAAAACGGTATATTATTTCGCGTCAATCCGATCAATAATGTGCTAGAAAAATGAAAAAAAAATGTGAATTTGGGCGAAAGGGTGTAGTACATCCTTCAAATAGAGCCAAAATTGCCCCTTAATTTTAAAATTTCCCGGAACATTTAATCGAAAAATTTGCGAGTTGGCGAAAGCCAAAAAAAAAGACAGATCCCAGACATGAAAAAAAAAATAGTACCCTGACCCCTTAAAATATGTATATGCAGTATCTCCACCCGAAATCGATAGTTTTAATCCACAGTGTACACGGAGGAAGCGTTGTAATCCATCTCTTTTTATTTTTTTTGGATCCTCGATGGAAATGATGGCGCCGTGACGGAGAGAACGAGGAGTGAGGTGGTGGTAGTTATGCATGGAATGACGAATATAGAAATCCCAAAGAGGGTGGAGTGAGAGGAGGTGGTGTTAGGGTGTATGGGTTTGGTGAGGACAACAGAGACGAGAGGATAATTTATGTTCTGCGAGGCATAACCGCCATTACCGTGTGCCATTGCAACTGTTGCTGGATATACAGCGGTATTAGGGGCTTTTTAGGGACATACTGGGGCCACAAGTAGGTCCACTGATACATCAGTATGACTCACTCTTGCTGCATGTCAACGGGAAATTGATTTAGCGGGCGGTATTGCTGTGGCACCTGCGTTAGGTTGGGTTAATGTGGTTTTTAAGTGCGCAAAATCCCACTTTCCGCACATTGTGATGAAAAACGGAGTTCGACACCCGTGAGAAAAGTGGTCTTTGACGCTTGGAAAGCGTAGACACTCGCCTTCAGCATAAATATGCTGTTGAACGCAGCTTGAGTCGCCTTGTTGGAAATTTTTTGAAAATTGAGCAACAGTTTTCGTTTACTTTTCGGCACAAGGTAAACGTAGCAGGCCTGGGGCTGGTCACTCCTCAATCGAGTGACTCAGTGATTTCCAGAATCAGATGATTTCCTGTGATTTCCTGTTGATTTCTGTGATTTCGCGAATGATTCTTGTGATTTCTCAATCAACATTAAAAATCATGATTTCTTTTGATTTCTTGTGATTTCCATCATTTCTAGTAGATTCCAATGATTTCTTAATTTCGGCACAAGGTGAACGTAACAGTCGAGGGACTGGTCACTCCTCAATCGAGTGACTCAGTGACCTCCAGAATCAGATGATTTCCTGTTGATTTCTGTGATTCCGCGAATGATTTTTGTGATTTCTCGATCAACATTAAAAATCACCATTTCTTTCGATTTCTTGTGATTTCCATGATTTCTAGTAGATTTCAATGATTTCATGATTTCCAGAAATCACTGGAGAAATCATGATTTCGAGATCAGAGTGGGGCATCTGTCGATAATGGTAGTTTTCTACATGACGTTACAATACGTAAGAATGTCAAAAACTTCATAGCGTCGCATTTTGGGATTGGGTGATTTCGAACGCACTGATACCATAACAAAAATTGTAGAGTTGACACTGCAAAATCAATTTCGATTTTACACTTACCGATGATTTCTAATGATTTCGGAAATCACTTGATTTCTTTGTGGTTTCTATTGATTTCCGATGATTTCCTGAAATCTTTAGAAATCGCTGCCGAAAATGGAAGTCACTTGATTTCCAGTGATTTCCATTGATTTATGGTGATTTCTTCCTTGATTTCCTCTGGAGTGGTCCAGTGATTTCCTAAGTGACTAGTCGGTAGCAATAGTGTCAAAAATACAATTTTCTGTACTGCTTCTCACGATTTCTGGTCTGGGAATTGGTATTACATACTTCCCAAACTCGAAAACTTGAAAATCACTACAGAAAAATATTGTTCCTAGGCTGTTGCGATGGGGTTTTTTTACTCGTGTGGTTCGCGAGTCCTCGCCTACGGCTCGGAGGCCAACGCCACACGAGTAAAAAACCCTATCGCAACAGGCCGGAAAAATATTATTTAAGACCTCGTCCGTACGTGTGAGTTTTACTTCACTTGTTCGATCGTTAATAAATGGAGGAAATTGAATCTTTTTTTTTTCTCAAATGTAGGTATTGTTGAGCCCTATCGACCGCCATTAACTAAAATTTAATTAATCGATTAGTTTTTTAAATTATGGAATCTTTTCGAAATTCGGTTGTCCCATGATAACTAAAAAAAATATTCTGAATTGATTGAATGATGGCTTAAAAATTTGTTTGTATGTCCTTATGACCGAGTTCGAAGATGAAGACGATTTTGATGTATTTGAAAATTTGCAAAAATTTTGTACTTTTTGAAAATCAAAATTCCGGGAATCTCTTTGAATATAATGCTTCAAATGAATTCAATCATAGCTTAAAATGTTTCTTTTAATGCCATTCAGTCGAAGTTAAAAGATGATTACGATAGCTATATTGGTTGATTTGATTTCTATGATGATTGTTGAAAATTTCGAATTTTTCATGAATTTCCCTGAAAGTGAGCTTTTTGTGATACCTGCCTGAAAAGTTCACTTTTCGAAACCGTTTAGTGTGCGTAAAGTGGTTTGTTTTACGCACGGCGTGCGTAAAATTCAGAGGTTGTGCGTAAAGTGAATTCTGAGTGCGTAAAGCTTCGCTTTCGAGTGTGAAGCTTTACGCACTCGAAATTCACTTTACGCACGACCTTGAACTTTTCGCACTTCGTGCACGAAAACAACCACTTTAGGTATCACAAAAAATAGAACGTGTTACGCGTGCGCGCGAAAAAGTGTTTTTTACGCACTTGTAACATAATACACTATTCTGATGGTTTCTTCAAATGTGATGTTTCGAATTCATTCAAGTATGCATAAATAAAATTTTTCTGTACTGCTGCTCACGATTTCTCGTCTGGGAATTGGTATTACATACTTCCCAAACTCGAAAACTTGAAAATCACTACAGAAAAATATTGTTCCTGGGCTGTTGCGATGGGGTTTTTTTATTCGTGTTGTTGGCCACTCCTCGCCTACGGGTCGGAGGCCAACGCCACACGAGTAAAAAACCCCATCGCAACAGGCCGGAAAAATACTATTTCTATAAACATTTTATCGAACGGCTGAGGGCAGAGATAGAACTGTAAAAAAGACAATCGGTTGTATAGAAGAAAGGGATCATAAGAATAATGATTATGATTACATTCAATTAAGTTAAAAATCTGACAAAATTAGTTGAAAAGAAATGTTATTCAATTTAATAAAATGAAATAAACAAAGAAGTATACATGATAGAAGGAAATGATGCGCAAGAGCAATTTCCTACTTGTTTCTCCAGTGAAATGCCTCTGTACTCTTGTTGTCTAACAAAGCTTTCATTTGAGCCCCATTTGACGTTTTTCTATAATTCAATTATTTAATAATTGAAAAACATAGGGGATTGAAAGAAAAGAGATGGAAAAATGACCCCAATGAATAGACAGGAAAGTAAGTAGGTCACAGTGAAATTTCCGAGAGCATGGATTGCCATTTTGAATAGAACTAAAATTTAATATCAGGCGATTTTCCACGAAATTGATTATAAAATTCTCCTCAATTTGAAACATCGATAAACTATCAAAAGAATATGAAAGAGGGCGGAAGTTGAGTGGCTGTTGAACTCTCGTAAACTCCGATGGGGATTTCAAGTGCCTTTGGATTAAACGATCCCCTCGTATTTCCGTTTCCAATAATTCACCGATATTTTTAATGCTCAGTCGATTGGACCATAGACTCAATAGCGATTCCATTATTACGAAATCACCTATTCAATTAATTATTCAATTATTCCTTCGCATGTTCGCGGTTTTACGAGACTCCCGGTTCATGGGGAAAATGAATGCATTCTGAGGAAGAGGTTGTAGCGTTAAATTAATTTTAGACTTTGAGAGCACTTTCCTTCGTTTCATTGGATTTTTAAAATTAATTAGTTTTTTGTTATCATTGTTGATGGAAAATTCAAGTGATAAGTCGCGCGTTTTACTTTTCAAAAACCATTTTCTCAAACTACGACGTCACAGTCACGTCTCTTTCGACGATTCTTTTTGTTTTCACGCTTAAATTAGTATAAATATCATTTGAATTTTAAGGGTTGAAATCTGAAATGAACTATTATTAAATAGAAACTAAATTAATAAGAAATAATTTAATTAGAAGTGCCAAAATAATAATTAATAAAATAATTGAAGAAAGAATTTGTGGATTAATTTCGCCCATTCATCGAATTTAGAGCTCACGTAAAAAATAATCAATGATGAATAATTTTTTTTTGGGCATTTTAAATTTATTTTTCAACGATTCATTTCTCTCTCAATTTATTCCTAGTTTTTGGAAAATTTCGGAGAGAAAAAATGTTGAAAAAAAGGTGATAAGAACGAAAATGTCATGATAAACTGATGGATTAGTCAATTTCTTCGTTCGCAGCGGGAAACAATGAAGGGTTTTATTTCATCATCAAGTTTCTCTTCTAGCATCGAATGATCAAGGGAATTCCCACAAAATCAAATGTCGATAAAAGAGATCTCTGCATTAATAATCAAATCAGCCAACAGTGGCGCCACAGTCCGCTCCAGTGAAATACAAAGTGCCCCGTCGAAGGAAAATACTCAAAATTCTCCCCGAAAAATGTGTATTCATACGGCAAATATTATTGAATAAGAATTAAAAATTTTATTGTCGGATGAAAGAAAAATTTCAATAGATTGTGGCCCATGTCGAGCGAAACTACATGACTTTCCTCACGAATTGAAGGTTAGAAATAAGAGAGACTAGGACCATGTACAGTTTTGCGAAATTATGCATTCGAAATACATCCGTTTACTCGAAAAATATTCTTCGCCAAGAGAAAAGATTTGCGGGACACAGTAAATGGCAGAATATAAAACATGTCAAGGCGGAGAAGGATGCGGAAAAATCGACTCTGATTTCGTCTTATGTGAAGAAAATGAAGGTCGCTATTGCCGGTAAATAATCATTACTCATATGATCATTTATTTTATTTCACTTTTAAAACGAAAATAAAAAATCAGCAAAACATCTTGTTTCCTAACATTAAAATAAACTATAGTCCAGTTTCCGTACAAGACTTGACAAAGGTGCCAGAATTGAGTAGGAATGAAGTTGAGATATTGCATAAATTGCTGAAAATATATGGATTTATGGTATAGAACTTAAGGTGTTTCGGTTGAAAAGTCAAAATAATGAAAACAAAATTGGAAAATTCATGGGAGAAATTTCTAAGTGTGCGCTGCATCATTGAGAATTCTTGCACAATTTCTTCAGATCTCAGTTGTAAGAAAAAATAAATAAAATTTGGATGTTTTTGTAACCCCTCCAGCTATGACCTCCGTGGTTAGCCCACTCTCAATTAGGGGAATTTCCATGGCACCCAAAAACATAATGAACTATCGAGGAAAAACTAGTGGGTGATAAATCAAATCTTTCTTGAGAACACGTATAAGGTGCCGATTTTTTTCAGATTTCATAAGAAAGTTATTTGAACAAATGATTCGGAAAATTATGAGTTTCGGGGCACTTACGGCCTCACGCGCAGGAGCGTGATTCGAATGTCAGTGAGCATCATGGGAAAGGTATTGGTTGGACCATGGAACTGAGAGAGAGAAAACACTCAACAGGTTTTCCAACTCGAGACGCATTTTACACACTTAAATAGTTACTTGAAAATTGGAAACTTTCGTGCTCAGCGATTGAATCAGGGCTCGAGAACAATAAGACTCCCCTTCCGTTTCACCCCCCGGTGATCTACACACGAAACACCTTAAATTCTCAATGTGAACTACTTTGTTGAAATAATTAATTTTTCCCGCATTATCATTGAAATAACAATTAATGAAAATGAGACACGATCGCCCTGTTCTACTCCCTGCGGTATCTTATACAAAGATTGGACTGCGATCGCATTCTATCGCATAATAGAAACATATGAAACATCACTTGAATAATGTACCTTGATATAACTAGCGTGTAGTCCACTTGATGAATATATTACTCATACGGAGATACAATCTACAATCATATTTCCAAAATCGCCCAGAGGGAAGAAGTCACAAGCCCTTGGAGAACCTGAAACTAGCCCAAATAATAGAGGACGCCAAGAAGAAGTGTATTCCGGCTGGGACGATAGCGGGAGTTCTCGAGAGAGCGGAAACATCAAAGACTAGAGTACAGTCGGAGCTAGTTGACTTCAGAGGCCCCGGTGGGTCCATCTTCGTCGTGAAAATTTTGTCTGACAATCCACCATCGGTAAAGATGCTGTTGAATTCAGTATTCAAGAAGACTAGTTGCCTTGCGGGGGACGCGAAACTTCGAAATATCTTCAATCATCGGGGGGTCATTGTAACCGACGCTCAGAAGGATCTAGATGGCGCCACTGATGATGCTATTGATGTGGGCGCTGAAGAGGTCGAGGAATTCGAGGATAATGGAAAATTTTACAAGGTATTTCCTATTTATTATTATATCCTATTTACTAAAGATGAAAGAAACGTGAAGTTGTTTTATATCGAAATATCTCGAAACTGCCTGACCGCTAATCCTTAATTCTGATTGGTCAATATGTGACACGAAGTCATTCACAAAAAAAACACGCGGCATTTTCAAATTCTTCAGTGACATAATTTCAAATTCTTCAGTGGTAAATTTTTTTTTTCACGTCACATATATATATAATATATATATTTCACATGTATATACATCATCGGTGAAATTAATAAATTCTGTCCTTTTATGGAGACCGATTATTTTAAAAAATTGAAGATAATTAATTGAAAATGAAAAATTCTTTATATATTCTTTTACTCTATTTCGCTATTCACTTCAATCATTAGTCGAATTCTCTTTGATTCATTATCAATATTTATAAGGTATTCATGAGAAAATGAAATTTAGTGAATTCCATTTCTTCATTTCAACAAATGAATAGATCAGCGCGCGCGAGAGCGCGCGCATAGATCTTGTTATTTACTAAAGATGAAAGATACGTGAAGTTATTTTATATCGAAATATCTCGAAACTGCCTGATCGCTAATCCTCAATTCTGATTGGTCAGTGAGTCGCGTGAAGTAGTCGCTGAAAGTAATCCCCGGTATTTTCAAATTCTTCAAATGCCAAAATTTTTTCTGCGTCATAGTTTTCATTTTTTCATGTGTGAAATTTATCTTTATATCAAAACATATCTAAATTGCCTAATTGTTGATCATGAGAAAAAAAAACAGTGTTTCTATATTTTTTTAACTCACAAATTATTCTTCACTTCCCAAATTTTTATTTGTTCATATTTATCATACGCAAAAATGATCAACTCTTGCTTCTCAGATTTTCAGACATAAATTCTAAACTCTACAAAATTCATGAAAATTCTTCGGTTTCCCAAGTAATTCGAGAAAAATCTTTGAAGATCTACGGTTATCTGGAAAACTGTGAAATTTTCCGAAGAATTCAAGAAATTTTTTCAGCTTTCTAGGAAATCAATTCATAACCCTCCCGTCATTTTTCAACAATTACAGATTTTAATCAGATTATTTTAAAAATTAAAAAAAAAAGAATTAATCGAAGATTAAAAATTATTCATTGATGTTTCATCTTCATTCTCTTAATTCTTTTTAAGTTATTATCAATATTTATAAAACATCTATGAGTATATGAAGTTTAATAAATTCGATTTCTTCATTTTCACAACGAATAGATAAGCGCGCACACAGGTCTAGTGTTGGAAATTTCTGAAGAATTTGTCGCATCAGAGTTTTCAGGAATTTAGATAGCACAGTCGCTAATTATCTGAACAATTGTCCTAGTTTTTTTAATGAAACCTCAAAATTCAGCCCAGGCTGGCCTGCCGACGCCCTTGGGGTATCACAATTAATTCCATGAAGCGAATACGAAGGGTCAAATGTTGATAGTGAAATATCATGAAACATATATTGGAAGTCACGAGAGTCAAATGTTAATCTGACCCTCCATATCTGCTTAATGATATTTAACATTCAATTTTTCGTCTTTCATGTTTGACACATGACATTTGGCTCTCAAAAATTCACCTGCAATATCCAAAACCATCAAAACAAAACTCATGAAAATTAATTGATCATCTTATATTTTTCAGTTCTACTGTCATCCATCAGTTCTCCATAAAGTCGTCACAAAACTCCAGTCCCTGAACTACACAGTCCATTCAATGGACGAGGAATTCACCCCGAATATCGTCACAAAAATAAGTGCAGACGATTCAAAGAAAATCGACCTTTTGTACAAAAAGCTCAATCAATTCGAGGAAATAGTATCCATCAATCACAATATCGACTTCAGTGATGAGGAGCAGCAGGCAGAGTCCCGAAGTTAATGTTAACTAGTTCCAACAAAAATATTTATCATTTAATAACAAAAAAAGGGTTGATTATTCCGTCGATCAACGAAGACGTGTGGAAATGTCTCCAGATTATCAAAATTTATTGAAATATATTAATTACATTTTCGTCACCTCCCTGCTCGATGAATACTCGTCATCATTACGTAAAAATAAATTCCTACAAAATCACATGTCAACCCCATACCCCCTGATATCATTGATATTTGACCCCTCAAAATGGAGAACTGGACTCTTCATAAAGAGCGACTTGAACTTTCTCTTGGACCTGTCCTCCCTCTCCCCCCCAGGACCACAAAATTCTCCAGAATTATTCTGCTGAAGTACCTCCTGCCTTCCCTCCCCCACTCCTTCACCCTCTCCCGCCAACTGTCCCTGCCCCTTTAATTTTTTATCCAAACCCTTCTCCTCCCTTTGTCCCTCACAATTTTCCTTGAAATTCTCAAAATTCTCGTCATCCCTATTTTTACTCTTCTTCTTCTTCTTCCTCGGGGTCTCACAATCCTCCCTCCCATCACCCACCACTGCCGCCCCCTCCCCCCTTCCCTCCTCCTCTGGAATTTCCTCAATAGTCTCTAAATTAGAAATTCGTCTCTTCCTCCTCCTCTCGTTCTTCAGGCACTTCCTCTCATTCTCCTCATTCTCAATAACTTCCTCACTGATGACCTCATCCTGGAGAATAGGATTGACATAACCCACAACCTCTCTGTGCCCTTCCCCCTCCCTCTTTGATTTTTTCCTCTTCAATTTATCGTTTTCTACCTCAAATTTATCCAATTTTCTCTTCATCTTCTTCTTCTTCTTCGATAAATCAGTGTTGTATTCGATTTCGTCGTTGAAGGTCACTCTTTTCTTGCAGGAGTACTCGTCGGAGAGGTCCAGGGCGTCATTGGAGACTCCAGGCTCCCTGGAGACCTCGAAATTCGTGGAGATCCTGGAATTCTCATCGATTTCTGTGTCTGGTGTGACAAAGGGGTTGAAATAGCCAACGATTTCGTCATTTTTCTTCCTTTTGGGCTTCTTCAGGGCCGCCAGGGGCCCTTCAGAACCTTCCCTGGAGGCTCCAGGATCTCTGGAGACCTCAAAACAATTGGAAATTCTGGAATTTTCATCGGCTTTTGAGTCTAAATTCAACGCAGGATTGACAAACCCTTTGAATTCATCATTTTTCTTTCTTCTCGGGTCCTTCAGGGACTTGACAGCCTCCAGGGGGACCTCTCCAACCTCTGGAGACTCCAGGTCCAGTCCTGGATTTTCAAAAACGAATTTCTGAGGGTCGCCTTCAGATTTGGCTGAATTTTTTTCGACTTCTGACTTTTTTTTCTTCGACTTTTTTGATTTTTTTGGAGTTTCAGAAACTGGAGACTCCAGCTCCAGCCCTGGATTCTCAAAAACAAAGTTGTGAGGCTTTTCTTCGGGTTCTGATGGATTTTTTTCATCTTCGGAATTTTTTGTCTTCGATTTCTTCGACTTTTTTGGAGTCTCAGAGGGAATTGCAGCGGCTGGAGGCTCTAGTTCCAGTCCTGAATAATTGGAAAGGGATTTTTTGAGGTTTTCTGGAGGCTCTGGTGGTTTTTCCACTTCAGAGTTCTTTTTTGGATTTTTTTTCGATTTTCTAGGGGTCTTGGAGGGACTGGAGGGATCTGGAGACTCCAGGGGAATTCCTGGAGTCTTAAGGAAGATTCTAGGGGGCTTCTTCGGGGGCTCTAGAGAATTCCCTGGAGGAATCGACGGAGAGGTCTGGGGAATGCACTCCACTGGATCAATCTCCTTGTTCTTCTTTTTTTTCGATTTTTTGGAAGAAGAGGAAATTTCCAGGGAATTTTCTGAATTTCCATGGATTTCAGAAGTTTCGAAATTATATTTTTCCTTTTTCTTTTTTTTTTTGGACTTTCTATCTTCAGTTCTGGATAATTCCTCTGTTGGAACATCATTTTGAGTTTCAGAAGAGTTTTTGTTTTCAATTTTCTTAGTTTTTCCAGAATTTTCTGGACCTGGAGAATTAAAGTCTAGTTGCTGACTCTCGAAACCGTCTGAAGGCTTCAGTTTCTTAGAATTTTGGTGAATTTCATCGACATTCGATGAAGAATTTGGAGTCTCAACGTAAAATTCAGATTTACGTTTCTTTGGTGTTTTATTTTCAACAATTTCCTGATTTAATTTTGATTTTTCCAGGGAAAATATGGAGGCAATCGATGGAGACGAGAAACCAAAGCCTACGTACCTTTCAGACTCACTTTCCGATGATTTCTCTTCGTCTCTTGGGTTTTTTTTAGGAGTTAATTGGAAATTCGGGAATTTCGATTTGAAGTAGTCACTCATGCTGCCTCCTTTGATGGTCAGAACACCAGCGGTGGTGTCTGGGGCACCGATGGGAGCGGGAGGATCTGAGGATGAGGGATCTAGGGGCTCAGGAGCTTTAGGAGCCTCTTGGAGGTCCTTCTTGCCGAATATATTTGCTAGGTCTTTGGTACTGTATTTGTTGACGTCTTTTCCACGAGTGAATTTTTGGTAACTGAAAGGGAAAATTATATTCCAGGATTAGTGATGAAATACTTATGCAATAATCATCTCTAGTTAATTATTATTTACTAATTAAGACTACAATTTTACAATCATCTTGATAATTAGTAGCTTTAGAGAAAAATAATCAAGGGGTAATTTTATCTTAAATTTTCATTCTTCTGAAGAGAGAATTTATAAATCTGAAAAAAGTCAAAGTTTATGAATGACTCATGAACTAATTGAGTATACGTACTGCACTCGAGCCCGACTCTGTTTCGACTTCAATTCCAAGGACTTTCCACTGAGATCAGTGGACTTTTTGATATCTGGAAGAGCTTTTTCGTCGGAGTTTTCCTCTCCTGTTTGGAGTTTCTGCAGGAGATCATTGAAATTCTCCTGGTGCTCTGTCCAGTATTTGTCCTGGTCATCTTTAGAGTAACCAAAGCCTGTAAAAATTCACTTTCTTCAATAAAAGTTCAACATAATCATTAAACTCATGAAAACAACGATTGAAACTAATTTCTGGATTAAATTAACGATATTTTTTATAAATGAAAACATTTCTTGTAATTTTCTATTTAATCTTGCGTCAGCAAATTACTTCTAAAATTGAATAAACAATTATTGATCCTCATTTGCTGTAAAAAAAAAATTATTCGAAGTTTACTGGCTTAAATTAATGGAATTGAGCCAAAAATTATGAGTTCACGTTCAATTTCAATAAAAATACCCCTAAATGTGCAACAATTTTTTTATCTTCACCTGCCCCAAAATTAATAAACCGATGAAGATAAAAGAAAACTTAATTTGATGCACTCAATATGGAAATTGACGTGTTGAAATACTCACCACCTGCATCGTCCTTGAATTTAACCCTCACATGCTCGGTCATGCCTTGCTCGTTGGCCCCGAGGCCTTTCCCACTCGTCCAACCCATCTTCTCCAGCATTTTCTGACCGAATTTGTTGGAATCTATAGAAAACAAATGGAGCAGACAAAATTTAATTTAATTGGCAGTAAAAATTATCGCTCATGAAGCTACAATTAATAATGGAATTATCCAGAAATTCCCGGAATAAATTGCAAAATATAGAGGAATTGAAACTTTTTGAGTAACAATAAAGGAGTTATCCAAATGAAATTTTAAGAGTCAAATATGATGGGTCAAACATGCATTCAACAATAGACCTTCAACATTTTCGATGTTTTTCACATAATATTCAATGAATAGATACCCAAACCGATAAATGACACCATAATTATGAAAATAAACTCATTTATAATCTTTAATAATCATTTTAATCAATAAATAATCTAAAACGAATGCAATTAATGACCAGAATTCCCAATGTCCAATATTTTCTGACCGAATTTGTTGGAATCTATAGAAAAAAAAATGGAACAGGCAAAACTTAATTTAATTGGGAGTAAAAATTATCGCTCATGAAGCTACAATTAATAATGGAATTATCCAGAAATTCCCGGAATAAATTGCAAAATATAGAGGAATTGAAACTTTTTGAGTAACAATAAAGGAGTTATCCAAATGAAATTTTAAGAGTCAAATATGATGGGTCAAACATGGATTCAACAATGANAAACCGATAAATGACACCATAATTATGAAAATAAACTCATTTATAATCTTTAATAATCATTTTAATCAATAAATAATCTAAAACGAATGCAATTAATGACCAGAATTCCCAATGTCCAATATTTTCTGACCGAATTTGTTGGAATCTATAGAAAAAAAAATGGAACAGGCAAAACTTAATTTAATTGGGAGTAAAAATTATCGCTCATGAAGCTACAATTAATAATGGAATTATCCAGAAATTCCCGGAATAATTTGCAAAATATAGAGGAATTGAAACTTTTTGAGTAACAATAAAGGAGTTATCCAAATGAAATTTTAAGAGTCAAATATGATGGTGGGTCAAACATGCATTCAACAGTAGACCTTCAACATTTTCGATGTTTTTCACATAATATTCAATGAATAAATAACCAAACTGAGAACCGACTCCATAATTATGAAAATAAACTGATTTATAATCTTTAATAATCATTTTCCTCAATAAATAACCTAAAACGAATGCAATTAATGACCAGAATTCTCAATGTCCAACATTTTCTGACCGAATTTGTTGAAATGTATAGAAAAAAAAATGGAACAGGCAAAACTTAATTTAATTCGGAGTAAAAATTATCGCTCATGAAGCTAGAATTAATAATGGAATTATCCAGAACTTCCCGAAATAAATGGAAAAATGTAGAGGAATTAAAACTTTTTGAGTAACAATAGAAGAGTTATCCAAATGAAATTTCAAGAGTCAAATATAACGGGTCAAACATGCATTCAACAATGAACGTTCAACATTATCGATTTTTTTCACATAATATTCAATGAATAAATAACCAAACTGAGAACCGACTCCATAATTATGAAAATAAACTGATTTATAATCTTTAATAATCATTTTCCTCAATAAATAACCTAAAACGAATGCAATTAATGACCAGAATTCCCAATGTCCAACATTTTCTGACCGAATTTGTTGAAATGTATAGAAAAAAAAATGGAACAGGCAAAACTTAATTTAATTCGGAGTAAAAATTATCGCTCATGAAGCTAGAATTAATAATGGAATTATCCAGAACTTCCCGAAATAAATGGAAAAATGTAGAGGAATTGAAACGTTTTGAGTAAAAATAGAGGAGGAGAGAGTTATCCAAATGAAATTTCAAGAGTCAAATATGATGGGTCAAACATGCATTCAACAATGAACCTTCAACATTTTCGATGTTTTTCACATAATATTCAATGAATAGATACCCAAACCGATAAATGACTCCATAATTATGAAAATAAACTCATTTATAACTTTCAAAAATCATTTCCCTCATTAAATAACTAAGAGGAATGCAATCAATGACGAATAGAATCCGTAAATTTCAAGATTATAACATGAAACAGATGATTCAAAGGGAAAGCAGTAACCGACGACTCAAAAACGTCCGGTGCAGCTGATAAATGACAGGAAAGCCCACAAACCTTCGCTCCATTGTTTTCCCCGCGGGTTGAGCGTCCACTTCTGCTTCCTCTTGGGCTCCGCGAGCATCGCCATAACCCCCAATTCCTCGATTTCCCGGTTCCCCAGTGATATTTATCCACCCAACAAAACCCCGACGGACAATTTCACATTTAGGATCAATTATCACCACTGGAGTGAATTTATCACGAGTATTCACCGCGAAAAACGACCGAGGGAATGTGCGACGATGTCGACGCGAGTGCGACACGTGCTCAGCTGTGCACAGCGCGGGAGATATCTGGGCAGAGTGGGGGGCGTTAGTTCCGGCGGAGTGGCGCTGACTGTTGAAAAAGCGCGCAAAAATCTATTTTCGATTTCATTTCAGTAGCGAAGTGGTAAAGTTTAAGTCGACCTATTTCCCAGTTGAGTTTTAGAGGAATATTTCCAAATCTAAGGGAGATAGCGCAATTTTCGTAATTACTTTTTTTGTAGCACTCAATGAGATCCACAAAAAAGGTTATAACAAAAATTTTGCTATCTCCCTTAGATTCCGAGATATTAATTGAAAACTGGTCAATAGTCAACATTGACTTATGCCGTTTTACCACTTCGCTACTGATTTCTTTTAAACATCATTCGCACATGAGGAGTGAGTCAATAAAAAATGAGAGAGAGTCGAATATCAAGAGCTAAATATGAAAAATATACAGAGGATTTGAATGTTCCAGGCATTATTATATTGTGGCGCCTCGGATTGTGGAGTGTTACAACCCATATTTAGTAAGGAACCACACGGGAAATAGTTTTATAATTCTAAACATTCTCAAAAGACCTGTGATGTCAACTCAGATGCCAATGAAACCCTCGGAGGCGACAGGAAAGTTGAAAAAAAACATTTTTCACTTTCACCCCGATCAACGGTCAGATCTTGGATCTATATAGGTCTATATAAGGCGGACTCCAGCCACCAAAATTCATAAGCCGTTTGAAAGCTCAACCGTAAACCCCACGTTCTTCACCAGAAAAGTTCTAGAAGTGCGATAAATTTGGGGTCGAATCGATCATGAATCAAGTGAGCATTGTGTTTTTAGTGATGGCTGTCATCATCGGATGCGTTTCCTATGCTTTGGCTGCATCAATGCCTGATCCTGATCCACAACGGGGTGAATATCTGACTTCAGTTTTCATTAGAGCCCATCACATTCTCATATTTTTCTCATGATCGATTTTTTAGATCTCGGTAATTCATTATAACAACGCGACATCAGCTCTTTAATGATCTTCAAAATTGTCTTTCAGCTTTGAATACGAAAAATGTTCAATATCTGAATTTCCCATTCACTTTATAATTTTGTATTCTCAATTGTGTTGAAAATGTGGGAAAAACATTCCACTTCATTCACTGATCCATAATAAAATTGCTGACTTGTGAAATTACTTCATGCAGACAATTTATTGAATTTACGAAAATAAAGTTGTCTTATTTTGCAGAAGGAGACACTAAAGTTTGTTAATTGAAATAGAATTTCTCCGTCAATATGACACAATTGGTGTTCATAAATATTCCCTCAAACTAATGTTCAAGATAAATTCTGAAAATAAATTCCAGTCTTATCAGGTTACTACTGATAAATACACTAAACCATGAAGGTACCCATTGCCTCAAGGTCACCAAAAACTTAAAACCCAACAATACGATGATGATTCAGTGGATGAATACCTTCTGACGAAGATGAAAATGAATAGAAAATTATTTATTTTCGATTGCCACTAACAATAAAACCAATTGTTCTACTAATGAAACATCTAAATTTAGACCAAAGGTCAAGGATACACCAGATGTACTCCAAACAATCCGCTGCCCCTCGAGGTATTTGTTCGTTTCATTATCAAATACTTTTGGAAGAGAGGGGCGATAATGGCTGGAGGGGGTTCTCGTGGTGCCCCTTTAAGCAGATCAGTGGTATTTTTGCTTGCTTCAGTGGAAGAACTTGCTTGCTCCAGTTTGAAAAAAAAGACTACTGGTGAGGCTTTTAATCATTTATTTTCTAATTTCCTCGCTCAGTTTCGAAAATAGACTAGCCGATTTTTTTTAGAATTTAAAAATTTTCCTTGTTTTGCAATTCAGCTTGATTGCTTGGTTTCCAATAAAGTGATTCTCTATTGTACCGTAATTATGAGAAAAGTTTCAATTTAATTTTTTAATAAATTTGTCAGGAAAACTCGACCCAGTCGAATCAATAATTTCATTTTAATCGATTCATTTTGAAAAATTTTCATGATTTTTTGCTCGATGTTTGGAATGGTCTAGTAGCTGTTATCAGCCGTATCATCGACGTCTGTCGTACACGTGGGTTCAAGTTCGTGGGGAATAGTGGTGGGGGAGCCGTTCAGCGAAACCCGTTTGAGGCGCATTTATTTATCATTGTTGCAGCGGTATTTATCGTTGTGTGCAACGCCAGGCGCATTAACTGTATTTGTTAGTAATGTAATTTCCTCATCAACGCTGGCAGTAATCGGGAAAAGCATGAGGAAATTTCTTCAGATTTATTTTAGCTTCATAAAAAATGAGAGTGGAAGTGAAAAGTGGAATTAAAACGTCGCAGTTAGGCCAAGATTGAAATGAATATAATTGTGTGGAATGCCGTGTGGAATTTTTATTGTGTTAAATCGCATTTTCACGTGCAGATAATTTTTTTAAATGGATGCACTCAAAGAGGGATGGTTTAGTGAGATTAATGACCTGTGGCCCGGTATAGCGGTTTCCCTGGAGGTAACCAAGGTGTTGCATCGGGAAAAATCACCGTATCAGGATATTTTGGTGATTGATACGTGAGTTCCACTATTTTTTACACAATTCTAATATTTTTTTTAACCCCAATCTCGCGATTTATTCCTTTTTTCCGAGAATATTTTTTCGAGGGGCCATTCATTTGAAAATCCGGTGACACAGTGATTGTTGATTTCACGGGATTTCAGGGAGATTTCCATGATTTCATGTGATTGCCTGGGATTTTTTGGATTTCGCGATTTCAGGCGATTTCAAATGATTTCAAATTTTCGATTTCATGCATTTGCGGAGGACCCTAGTAGAAATTTTTCTCTCAAGATTTTTTTCTACTAGATTATGGGGCACGAATTTTCTAAGTTTTTTTCCGCTGGAGTTTGTTTTGTTTTATATTATAGAATCCGAGTGCAAAAAACTTAAAAAATTGATGCCCAAGCTTTCCCAGCAAACTGTATGTCGACAATTTGTCGACGAATTGCCGATGTCCTGTTAAATTTTAGATGGTACTGGCAAAAATTGTTTTCTGGGTTCTTACACAGAGAGAAATATTCAATAAAAATTGCGTATCTTTTCCTTAATTCCGGAACGAAATGTGGTTGTAGGAAATTTTACGGAACTGTCACGGAATTTTTCCAGAGCGTTCCGTAATTTCTACCTGAATTTCCTGTGAAAAATCCAATACCGTCACTTAAATTTTCTGAGTCGATTTCGTAATCGGTGAGCGAATTGTGAGTTCCGCAATTTTTACTGAACATTTCTCTCCGTGTATAGAAAAAATCTCAAGAGGAAAATGCAAAGAGAAATTCGACATCTATTGACTTTTTCTTGTCGAATATCTAATAAAAATCCCATAGGAACCCCTTAAAATTTCTATAGAATTCCAATAGAATTTTCCAGCGAGATCGATAGGTTTTCTATTGAATTTTTTTTCTGCGTGAATTTCATAGATTTCATCGATTTTTTTTTCCAGAAAAGCACATGGGAGAACTCTAATTCTCGATGGAATAATTCAATGCACAGAGCACGATGAATTCTCCTATCAAGAGATGATATCATTCCTTCCACTTTGCAGTCATCCAAATCCGAAAAATGTGAGTCATAAAAAATACAGTCTTTATATTCTTTCTTTCTTTAGTGGAAGACGATTCCAGGACAAAATCCATTCGGAACTATAAGAAAAATACATGAGATGACAAAAATTTACAAAGGCTACTCTGGACATATTATAAACATCATCGTTAAGAAAAACATAATATATGAAAAATAACATAATAGTATAATATATGCTAATATATGTATAGCATAATATATGTTTCGGTTGAAAAGTCAAAATAATGAAAAAAAATGCTTGAAAATTCATGGGAGAAATTAAGATGGAGCATACTTAATTAATTAAGTATGCTCAATCATTAAGAATTCTTGCACATTTTCTTCAGATTTTAGTTTCAAGAAAAAAAAAATTATGAAATTTTGATGTTTGTGATAAATCAAATTTTTCTTGAGAATACGTATAAGTTTCAGATTTTTTTCAGATTTCGTCAGAAAGTTATTTGAACAAATGATTCGGAAAATTATGAGTTTCGGGCAATTACGCCCTCACGCGCAGGCGCGTGATTCGAATGAAAATCCAATGAGAAAACACTCGACAGGTTTACCAACTCGAGACGCATTTTAAAATTATTTCAATAATTAGAATAACATCCAATAAAAATTATTTGACACCGGTAGGTGATGAGAAAAAAATCATTCAATCTGATGAATAAAATCAATATTCAAAAAATGTTCAAATGAACACTTAAATAATTACTTGAAAATTGGAAAATTCCGTGCTCAGCGATTGAATCAGGGCTCAAGAATAATAAGACTCTCCCTCCGTTTCACCCCCCGGTGATCAACACACGAAACACCTTAAGGGCAGTAGGGGGAATGGAATTCCGGGAATTGGCACAGACATTTTATATAAGACACCTTCTTCGCTGCTTGCATCAAATAATTCATAGACAATTAATTTTCCAGCATGAAAATCCTTTGTTCGGAATCGTGACAAATTGATTAATATTCAGAATTTTACCACAAATCCATTTCGCGCTTTAAAAAATAAAGTTTTCGGAAGTTTGAACAATTTCAATTATTCAATTCCATGTCTACGATGTTTCGACAGGTGTTGATAGTCGGGGGAGGCGATGGTGGCGTCGCCAGGGAAGTAGTGAAACACCCCGGGGTGGAGAAGGTCGTTCAAGTAGAGATTGACCCCGCAGTTCTGACGGTAGCGAGGACCTACCTTCCCTTCATGGCAGCTGGACTAGACGATCCCAAACTCACTGTCAATGTGGGGGATGGATTTGAATTCATGAAGCAACATCGCGGGGAGTTCGATGTCATCATAACCGACAGCAGTGATCCAATCGGTAAAAATAATCCCGATGAATTTTTTTATTTAAAGAAGAATGGAGAGAAAAAAATTTTTTTAGAAATCTTAAAAAACGACATTTTGGTTGAAATCTTAAAAAACAAAATTTTGTTTTGAAAATCATCACAAAAACATTTTTTCAACTCCAAAAAATCCGAAAATATTGTCTTTATGCAATTCTTCATTGTCTCCTCTTCCCAAAAATCAATAAAATTAGTGTTTTATAGTGAAAAAATTCTTTCAACTTCAGCAATGAAGTATTCAATCCTTAGAGTTGATTAATTTTCTTCACAAGAAAGTTTTATCTCGAAAATATTGTCTTTTTGAAATTCTTCAGTTTTATCCTCTTCTAAAAAATCAATAAAATTATACTTTAATAGTGAAAAAATTTCTTCAACTTCAGCAATGAAGTATGCAATCCTTAGAGTTAATTAATTTTTTTTTAGAAGAAAGTTTTATCTAAAAAATATTGTGTTTTTGAAATTCTTCAGTTTCTTCTCTCCCAAAAAATCAATAAAATTATTGTTTTATAGTGAAAAAATTCTTTCAACTTCAGCAAAGAAGTATTCAATCCTCAGAATTTATCATTTTTTTAGAACAAAAATTCATCAAGAATTCTCCACTATTTATGTTTAATCGAAGGTCCCGCTGAGTGCCTTTTCCAAGAATCTTATTTCGCCCTGATGAAGGCAGCATTAAAACCCAACGGAATAATCTGCAGTCAAGCCGGTACCGCATGGGCCAATCTGGATCACGTCACCAAAACCCTGAATCACTGTCGAACAGTTTATCCAGTTACCGCATATGGAATTGCAGCTGTGCCTACCTATCCCACTGGACAAATTGGGTTTGTCCTTGGAAGTCTCGATCTCGTACGTAAAAGTTTATTTCTCAATTATTCAGGATATTTATCCACTAATGTTGCAATAATGATTCTCCTCTTTCTTCACCATTACCACATCCCTCAAACTGTCTCACACTCATATCATCTGCCACTATAGGTAAAACATAGACAACTAGGTAAAACAAACAATTTTTTTGTACTATAATATTTTTTTCTATTTTATTAAAATTATGCATTTTTTATATTGAATTTTTTCCTAATAAAATATATATATATATATATACTACATATTTTATATTTTATATTTATTTTATTATATTTTTTAAATGAAAAAAAATTACATACATATATATATATATATATTTTTTAAATATTTTCTTATTAATATATAAGGTATTCAAGTTTAGGATGGAAATAATCCTAAGTCAAGCATGGCGGAATAGATTGCTGACCAAAAACGTTACATTCTGTTTTTAAAAGAGGAAAAAACTTTGTAATCACTCTAGGCTTGTACAAAAATCGAGATATCCGCCTGCTTTTCTCTCATTGTCCCTCTACAACCAATACTTTCTATATAGTAATATAATGAATTCCGCTAAAAATAAATAATAATATTCACTGATTTATACGAATAATTGTGAATACTTTCTGCACGATGACTGCTCGTTGCAGAAAACGAATTTCACGGAGCCGGTGAAAATCTTCACTGAAGAGGAACTCGATAAGATGAAGATGAGATATTACAACGATAGAATCCACCGTGGAGCATTCATTCTTCCCAGATTTGTTGAAAAAGCCCTCAAACCATCCTCCAAAACTCCAGAGGAATCGGCAAAAATTTCATGAATAGTTTCAAATGAGTGAATTTATTTCAATTGTTGTACACGAAATTTGTTACAAAAAAAAGAAATGAAAAATTCAAAAGTGATTATTGAACTCTCAATATTTCACTCGGGAAAAGAAATATTTTTCTCATGTCAACTGCACAATCACTCCCTCCGAAAATTATATTTTCTACCCATAGAATACACTAAATAAATAAAACAGCAATTTATATTACTTGTTAAGGATTTTTATTTTTTTTTCTCATTTCTTAAAATATTTCTCTCGACATTTTAATCATGAATTCACATAATACCACGAAACAGTTGAATAATTGTAATAAAAATCATGATCAAAAATAACACTCCAAAGTACTAAATAAAAATTCATAAAAATGTTCCACAATTATTTTTTCCTCAATTAATTTTTTTACTTTAATAAGGCTTCATTGGCTCGTCTCAATTACCATGTAAAAACGTTAAAAATTATCTCCTTCCTCAGAATAAAATACCTACTAAATCAGTATTATCGATTAAAATTATTGAAAACAATATCTGGGTGATTATAATTGTTGTAAATAAAATAAAATTCCTCTAAATTAATTACAATTATCATTAATTGCTTTGTATACATATATATAATAATATATTATCTGCTTGTAATCATCGAGGACCCATCGTCCATTGAATAATTCATTATTTCCATTGGTGAATGGAGAAACAAATTTCATTTCAATTTTCTTAATTGACAAATTGTTTAATTCATCCACGAATTACCCAAAAAATCACAAATTACTCGTTCATGTCGTTGAATCGTTAATTAATTAATAAAGCATTATATTTTTTTGGTAATTACTCAATTCGAAATAATTGATTAAGGCATCGAAAATCTCCACTTTGTGCATCAAAATTGACTCTCATCCCCTTAAAATATCATTAAAAAAATTAATAATTGCACTTTAGTATTCATTAATCACCTGTTCACAATAATAATTGAATTTTATAGCAGAAAATTTCGAAATTATCTCGAGATTCGGGTGTAGATAATGGGAGTAGCAACAGACTCGAAAAAAGTAGAAAAGAAAAAAAATTAATTAGTTAAAAGAAAAAAAGATAAGTCGATTAAAAAGTGGGAGTGGCGCCATTTCGGTCACTGACTCCCGGAAAATTAATAAAATTAAATGATATGTTGCTTCTCTTGTTAATCGTCTCGCGTGTGTCAACGTAATTAACATTTAACAAACGAGAAAGAAAATAATAATTAGTTGTTCTAAACTAAAAAAAAATGGGGAACTGATTAAAATAAAAATTCATCTAGAACTAAATCCTTTTATTCTGTCGAGACTACGGGAAGCAGTGACTAAAAAAATTATCATTTTTTGTTACAATGATTGTTTTATCGACGTATGGACGTTTTTCACTGAATTCATACCTCAATTTTTAAGGTTATCAATTGAATATGAACGATGTTCATACAAAGGCAATTGTGTTTTAATCCTAACAAGGCTAAATCGAAAGCACTTGAGATGGCTAGCTAAGGACACTTATCTAATACTCATCTAAAAATTTATAGGTTATGTAATTTTGTGTTTTTTCATGTCATCGTATTTCTCAATTTTCCATTCGTGAAAAAAAAGCCTGAGAAACTTTTCTTCCTTTCTCAATACCCCTTGAAACGTAAAAAACTGTCTCCCTCCCCCCAAATTTCATTAATTCATATTTTTCGGACACAATAATAAGGCAGTACACGAGAAAATCCTGGGAATCCCAGAAATCGCAGAATTTTTTTCCCATTCCTAAGTCGCTTCCGCTCATCCCCCCTGCCCCTTGAATTTTCTACTTCTGCTCAAAACTCAAAATTTTATTTCTGCTCTCATGATGTTTCGATACAGTCATGGTGACAGTTTTTTTCTCAGTGACTTTTTGGGTGACATGTTCCTTCTGACTCTTCTGCTCTGTCATGGAGAACCTCCCACTGTCGCCCCCCTTAAAAGTGGTCAGATCACTTCCACTAGTGACAAACTCCTGCTCCTGGGTGCTCTCAAAATTACTAGACGAAGATGTCTGCCCAGGTATTGACGAATAAACCTTGGTCGTTATTGTTTCCACCCGTCCCCCAGGTAAAATTTTACTCTCAACATTCGTGTAACTCTGATTGTCCCCAAAATTTCCTAGATTTGATTTTCCCCCAAAGCTCCCCAGACCCGTTTTATCCCCAAAAGTCACTATATTCGATTTTTCCCCTAGCCCCTGTGAAGTCCCCAGACACCCTCCCCCAAAAATCCCCACATTCGATTTTTCCCCCAACCCCTGTGAATTCCCTAGACTCCCTCCCCCATAACTCCCCACATTCGATTTTTCCCCTAGGCCCGGCAAGCCTCCCAGATCCTTCCTCTCCCCTGTGCCCCCCACAAACTTTTGCACCTCCGTCTTAAAAGTCGTCATTGGCTGTGAGAATCTCTCCCCCCCAAATCCCCCCTCCTCCCGGGCCCCAAAGCCCCTCCTACCGCTGGAAATCTGGGGTGGTGGTGGGGGGAAAGGTCCCTCAAACTCCTGATTGATCTTCCTCTCGATCGAGCTGTACTGACCCAGCCCATTATTATCCCCAAATCCCTCCTGATAACCCCTCTCAAATCCTGGCACCTGATGCCTCTTATCAACCAACCCGTACTGCCCCTCATCCCTAGAACCCTTCATCCTCCGCTCGAGAGTGCTTTGAGTGGAGTTGACCTTCTCAGGACTGACAAGATCACTCCTGTCACCAGTGGCAATGTTCTTCTCTGGCATTCGTGGTGTAGATGTCACAAAATTATCGGGACTCTTCCTTGCAATATAACCTGACGAGTAACTCTCGTAGCCGCTCTGATCGGCGTCGCAGTCCGTGTCCGAACAGTCCGGACGATTCTTGTACTTTGCCTGCCTGATAGCCGTCAATCTTCCCCTAGCTTCCTCGAGTTCCTTCTCAATTCTCAAAACCTCAGAGCGTGCGTTGATCTCCTGCGCAATTCCCCCCACCATTCTCTTGTTGAGAACTAGGGATCTTTCTTCCTCCTGTTGGATGGCTTGTTGCGCAGCGCGGACAAGATTGTCTGTTGCTTTTTTGACGGCGTTGCCAGCATTCTGAAGGCGTTTCGTGCTCTCTGAGTCTGGATCTGCTTTGACCTTGCAGGCAACGAGAAGTTGTGCGGTGCTGGAAGCCACCTGTTTGGCGCTCGATATGAGTTTCTCCTCGGAAGAGACACCTTGCACCAGAGCATTGGCCGATTCCACTAGACTATGAGTGGCTGCGGCGACTAGACGAGCCGCGGAGATGAGGCCCTCCGACCATTGGCCATCGTCCGAGGAGGTCAGAGGGGTTCGCGAGACCTTGCCGGTGGCGATCAGCTCTCGTTGGGCTGCGGATGCCGCTTTTATGAGAGCTGATGTCGCCGCCGCAATAGACTTGGCGGCTTCCAGAATCATCTCGTCGAAGTTCATGTCTTCGGATGTTTCCTGAAGACAGAAGGAGATGATCTATCAAAGTTTGGACAGGTTTTGAAGGACTAGGTCAATTACATGAAGGAAGATAGTCATTTTTAGATGACTGTATGTTATTTAATGGCATTCCCCTTTGTTGGTTGTTGTTGTGATGGCTGCCCGTCGTGATAATATGTTTGATTCCTGGTCGATCTCTGAGTAACACAACCAAGAATATCAAACATATCTTACGAAAGTGCAGCAAATGGTCATTTTGCCTGTGAATATTAATATTGTTCGCAAAGTAATGAACTCAATCATTAGTTTCCCTTTACACTCATCCTTCATAAGTCCTAAACTTTCGTATTAACATGCGTTAATCCATGGCCATTATCTTCAAGATAATCTGATGTATCGCATTTTAAAATATCACGTTTCATACATTCATAAATATTAGGTGCTTTGAACTCATACAAAAGACTATATCCATATCCACAAGTTTACTATTTCTACCAAATACTTGCTTGACATCATTTTACTGAAAATCCTGAATGAAGATAGTGCCAATGTGGAATTTGGTGTGGATAATGAGGCTTCAATATCATTAAAATTTGGATAAATGATAATACGTCTTGACCTTTGCAAAACTATCTTCTACTCTCAAACTAATGAACTCAATCATTATATTTCCATTATACTCATCCTTCATAAGTCCTAAATTTTCGTATTAACATGCGTTAATCCATGGCCATTATCTTCAAGATAATCTGATGTATCGCATTTTGAAATGTCAAGTTTCATACATTCATAAATATCAGGTGCTTTGAACTCATACAAAAGACTGTCTGTATCCATATCCACAAGTTTAGTATTTCTACCAAATACTTGCTTGACATCATTGTACTGAAAATCATGAATGAAGATGGTGCAACTGGGTAAAATTTGAACAAATAATGAGATATCTCACCTGAATGCTCCTCCTAGGTCTCAAACTCGCCAACTTCTTGGCTGCGGCATCGATACTGGCAGCGGCACCCAACAGTTCATTCTCAGCAATTACAGTAGGATCATCAGGATCGACCCAGTCAGTTCCCTTCAGCAACTCGGCCACAGCCACAAGTTCAGTGACACTCGTAGCAATCTTCCTCGAGATCTGGGGCAGCGTGTGCTTGGCGTCTCCAGACTTTGACGAGATCATGAGGATTGCCTGGAGGAGTTCGCGATAATTAAGAGCCACGTCATGACCAGCTTGAAGGGTCCTCTCTCGCAGATCCCTTGTCTCCGCGCAGTGATGGGCAGCTGCTTTGCAGATCGACAGCATATCGCTGATGGCTTTCCGTCCCATGTTGGCAGCCGCGATAATGTCGTCCTGCTTGCAGCTGTTTCCAGCAGCCACTGCCTTGGCCGTCGCTGTGGTAATGCTCTTCGTGCATCTGACGAGATCCTCCGGGGTCACTGCACCCCTCTGATAATCTGGGGTGTTTGACGCTCGGATTTCCTGACCGATTGCTTCGATAGTCGACTCCAGAGCTCTTGTACCTCGTGTGTGTTCATCCTCCACTGCCTTCACCGTCTTCAGCAGGGACGTCACGTTCGTCACCATCACCTGGGGGCAAAAGGTGGCGCTTCGTTAGGGGTTTGAGGTTGTGGAGGGAGATCGTCGAGATGCTGTTAGTGGAGGGTTACTGCCTTTTAAACCCTGAAAATAATTCATAAGCTGGGGAGCGGGGGTCAGTGGAGGTTAAGAAGGCGTTGAACATAAAAGGGAGTGTGCCTATTTTGTATTTCATGTGTTAATGGACAATCGTTGATGAGGGGATGGTACGCCTTTCATAGATGGCGTCTTGTTATTCGGCGGTCCCAAATTGTTAAGAAAAGGTTCTTCTGGGAGGTTTAGATGGGTTAGGCAGATACTTCTTGTTACCACAACACAAATTCTTTTTTTTCCTTGAAATGTACGTACCTACATTAAATTTGATGATTTTTTAAAATTACTTTTGATTTCTGAGGTTAGGAGGGATGGGATTAAACTTGAAGTTTAATGAATTTTCTTGAGTTTATTATAAGATTACAAATGGTGAGAATGAATGTTTGTAAAAAGCTACGGTGGGTAGGAAAAATTGTTGATGTTGAGCAAAAGGAGAGGGGATAAATGCAAAATTGAAACGAATGAAAAAACCCGAAGATTGGATCCCCTTATTTTGACTTGTCACTCAACAGATATAGGCCTTCTCTTAATAAATCCAAACATAATAGGGTTGGATAGTGATTGAATTAGTGAAAAAAATGCTACATGAGTAGCAGAAGATCGGACGTTCTTTCGGTAGGTTGATTGGTGTCTGAGGACGACAGAAGTCTCATGAGTTCCTCCTCCTGATCTGACACTATCCACTCAGACTCGGATCCAGTTGTATCAGCCATTGGTAAGATTTGTTGATTCAGCTGACGCTCAACTACCTGATAGTATTGCATTACCCGTACCAATTAGAATACCAATAAAATTCCGATAATTACGTTCATCAAAGTCCACCAAAATAATCGACAAAAAAAATAATAGTACAACATCAAAGCGAAAAAAAAGTAATGAAAAAATCTTCGATCATCTACGCATTCAAAATTTAAAAAAAATATAGAAATGAATTTTAAAAAAAGAATCGAAAAATCGCAACACACAAGACGAGAAGAAAAAGACACATAAAAATAGAGAAATAAAAAATTGAATAATCTTAAGATTTTATGGTGGACTTTAATATTGAACTTTATCGATGAATTTTTTGGACTCCAATTTTCAGCTGCTCAAGTTGATAAAAAAAAATATCCCATATCGTTTTCGCCCAATTTTTCATGTTAATGTACGAAAAATGTCAATTAAAGTCCACCCAAGAAAAAAAAAACGAATAACCTTTTGTTAATTGAGAAAATATTGACAAAAAAATAAAGTAGTTCGTGAATCTCCCAAGTAACTCGAAAGTGAATAAAGAATAGAATTTCATTTGACAATCAGGAGAGGCCGATTATGTCCATAACCTCAAACTCCAGAATGAAAATGAAACGCTCGGCCCCGGGGATTCCCCTGACTATTAAATGCAACCCCAACCTCGAAAGCGTTAAACCAAACAAGCAATAACTTTAAAAAATTCTCTTACCTTGGCAGAATCCTTGAGATGCGCCATGCTGGGATCATTGATTGGTTTCCCACTGGCAGCCTTAGTCGCATGAATAAGATCGCCTAACGCCGAAGCAACATCCTTCACCGCGTTGATCAGCATGACCTGTGCCTCAGCATTCTGAGTGCCAAGGCTAGCAGCTCCATACTTAACAACCTCGGCCAACTGGACAATAGTAGACACTGCATTCTGTGCAGCAACAGCCAGCTGTTCCTGAGAGGAGGCAGCCCCGGCCACAAGAGTCTTCGTGTCCTCAACCAAGGCCTTCGCAGTCTTCAGAATATTCTCCCTGTGATCAGCAAAGGTATCCCCCTCATTCTCCGCATGAAGAGTACCAGCAGTAGCAAACATGATGGTGGTATCCAGATCTCCAATGATCCCAGAGACAGTGCTTGCGGCGTTGATGCAGGCCTGAGTGCCCCTGGAGCCAGCCTGAAGTGCTGAAAGTACCTCAGACACCTTTTCCGTAACAATCTTTCCGCTCTCGGACACCTCCCTCTGGGTGTAAGCATCCCCAGGTGTCAGTTGACAGACCCCAGAGGCCCGCACAATATCCGCACATGCCCTCCCCAGGTCCTGCACTCCATTCCTCAACCTGGAAGACACCTCAGGACTGGAAGCGGCCGCCGAGGCCCCAGTGCAATCTCTCGCAAGTTGTGTGTACTTGTGAGAAATGTCCACTGCGAGGGGTCCCAACCTTGCCACATCAGTACTGGACTTGGTCGACATCTCTTGGGCCAATCTAGCTATCTCCTTGGCAGCCTCAACCATCCTCGTCTGGTAGTCAACATAAGAGTCCACTGAGTCCGTCGAGATTCTCGTGTCATCTAATCTGATCATAGCCCTGCTGATGGTCTCGATCAAACCAGTGACAACTCCATGAGATGTTGAAATCATCTCCAGAGTGCTCTCCAGCTCTCTCAAAGCGTCCTTCGTCCCCTCCACTGATTCATCGACCTCCGAGTGAAGAGCCATTGCCTCATGATTGCCTCCAGTCTCCTTCGCGATGTAGACTAACTGCAGAGCTGACTCGGCAACTGTCTTCGTCTGGTCCAACAACACAGACTGCTGTTTAGAGTTCACCATGTTTGACGCTGCGCCAATGGCACTGGTGACCAAGGGCTCATAGGACCTAGCCAATTGCTGGACACAAGGGCCGACGTTCTCCGGCTGGTACTTTGCAGCTGTTCTCAACGGCTCTAACTGCTCGCGCAACTCTCTCGTGTATCTTTCCATCTCCTCGATGAACCCTTCCTGAGAGTTCTCTTTACGAGGTACGAGAGACTGTGAGACTGCACTGAGAGTCGCCGAATCCAGTTCCCTTATCCTTGCTGTTAACTTCTCGATAGCTGTATCGCACTCAGTCTGGCCTGGGCTTTTCTCCCGAATCGACGAGACTAGAGTCTTGATCGAGTCTGATACAGTCTTGCTGTGTTGCGCAAGTCTCTGCCAGGCAGGTTCGTCCTGCGGACTGGCTTGGAGGCTCTTCGAAGTCTCGACGATTGCACACGCGCCATCTATGATCGCTTGTTCAGGCCCGGAGACCCTCTCCGCAGTGTGGATCACCGTTCTGGTGTACTCGATGCACCCCGCGAACTCACAGAGATTATCGACGGCATCTAACAACGGTCTCGTTGCGTCCGAACACTTCTCGCGATTAAGGTCCGAGTAATCTTTGTCCAACGCTTTGATCTCCTTTACGAGATTCGCGGTTGAATTCGCGACGTCCTTCGCAGACTGGACGTAATGTCTTTTAGCCACAGGATCATTAGTCTTACTGGATGCCTGCCTGCAAGCGTTGCAGAGAGCGCTAGTGTGTTTCGCGATCATAGTTGCCGCTTCGAGAATCTGTTGCTTCGAACTCTTCGGATCAGTGAGATTTTCGCAACCCGCGTGAATCGCCTGTGCAGCTCTCGAAAATTGACTCTTGTCCACGACAATCTCCTCCACGACTTTTCGTCTCAATGTTTGAGTCGTTGCTACTGTCGTCGCGATTCTCAGTTCCTCCGCAGCGGTTTTGAGTTGCTCTTGCATTCGTGAGTCGTGAGGGCTTGACGCACACTGTCGCGCAGCCTCCACCATTTTCGAGGTGGCATCGGCGAGAGCCTTTGCGGCCGCCAAGAGCCGTCGGTTGAGGTCAGGATCGGGTTGCCGTTCTGCCTCGTCCTTGATCGATTGAATAAGGTGGGCTGTGGCTTGACCCACGATGCGCGCTTGCCGCACCATTTCGGGCGCGTCTCCCGAGGACGCGAATAGACGATCAGTCGCGCAAATTATCGTTTCAACGGCGCCATCTTGAGTTGTTTCTTTCGCGCGTTCTCCCGTACGCGTGGCCGTGCGAATGTGGTTTAAGAGGTCATTCAAGGTGCGGGAGACTTCTGCGGCTGCGGAGGACAGCTCCTTGAGGAGGTTGTCGTCTCCGCAGGTCTCGTTGCAAACGTCCACGAGATTTTCAACGGCTTTCGTAACTTCGCGAACTGCGTTCATCAGCTGGGTTTGACACGCGGGGGATTGGAGTGTCGGCGCGACGACTTTCGCGCATGCTACGAGTTGGGAGGTCGCGAGCGCACATTGAGTCGCGGCGGAGATGACGCGGTTTTGGGTTTGCGAGTCCTCGCACGTGGCCGCGATGTTACGGGCTTTTAGGACGAGTGCTGCCGTGGTATTGGCAACGGCTTTCGCGAGCGCAAGAAGCATGTCCTGGAGTTCGCGATTCGAATCGTTTTCTTCGCCGATCGTCGTGAGAACCTGGTGGGAGGCCTCGCCGACGCGGGAGGCCGCGTTTAGAAGGTTCTGGCGAGGCTGAAAGAGGGAACATCGATTATTTTTCAATTTTGAGGGAGAAACATCGAGATTTAAGTGAATTGCTTTGCATTGATCATGAAACATTGAAATTGACTCCTGTGATCGTCAATAACTCCGAATATGGTGAGTAGAATTTGAAAAATTGCGAGTCATTTTGATGTTTTTTCGCAAGTTATTGTTCGTTAAGGAGATATGAACGATTGCACACGATGGATTGTGCCCAATCTAAGTCTACAGTGCTCTATGTGAAGTATGTGCTTTCGCAAAAATACATCATCTAAGATTCCAAAGGACCTAAGTAGTGGCCAAAACGGCGAAATTCATAAAAAGATTCCTCAACAATGAAAATGGTGATTACTAAACATATCAGCCCGAAGCATATCAAAACATCTAAACTTCTTACGTATTGTTCATATATGATCACAGCAACACCATAAGGCTGCATAACAACGAAAATATTGTAAGATTCCCTTGACGAGGCCAAAACAATCCGCGATATAGTGAAAATCTTACCTCCTTGGTCTCCGGTTCGGTAGCCTTCAGTAGATCTGAGAAAGCAGTGCACAATTTCCTGGCAGCATCTAACAAACGATCCCCGGAGGTGTCATCATCCATCAGTGCAGCAATCATCCTAACTCCCTTAGTCATCTCCGGTAAATTCGTGGCAATTGTGGATATAGCCTCACCCACTGCAGTATGATCAACTTCCTCAATTGATCCTGATGTTAATGTGACAACTTGTGCAGTTGCTGCATTCATTTCAGCAATTTGTGTACCAACATTTTGCTTGTGGGTTACCATTGTCTGGGCTATCCACTGAAGTGATGCTGGATCATTACCGAGCTCCGGTAATTGGGCCTTAGACGTTAATTCAGTCTCGGCAATGTGTATCACTTCGTGGCCAGCGGTTATTGTTGATACAAGGGCTCTCTGAGGCTCAGTGAGTACCGACGTGACTTTTGTCTGCTGTACCTGTTCGTCAACAATAACGTATTCACTCGATCCATTGATCGTCCGCGTTCGAAGGGGGTGGATTTTTGATGACAGCAATGGCTTTAAGGATGCAGGGGTAAGATATTCTCAGACGATTGGGGAATTACATGAGGGTAAGGGAAGGTAAATGAACACAAGTTGATTCTTCACGTTGATAAACGTTACACAGTCGACCTTCTGTATAAGATGGCCTCGGTCATTAATCAATGGAAAACGATTGATTGTAAGGGTCAAATGATCTTGAGGGCCAAATGTCAACTTTCCCTTACATCCTCATCCATTTTCATCATACTTCAGTGCCTTTTGTCCCCAGAAAATAATGACAACCTCTTGCAATTGAATCTCTAAAGAACTTCTGTACCGTGATAAAATAAATTGTGCGCCAAGTATATTGAAAACAGTGGAAAAATAAGGAAAATAGAACTTTTCAGTTTGACCTTTGTACCTACTTTTTGTCCGCAATAGAAGGCGCCTAGCATGAAAACAAATCGAATTGGAAATTAGTCGATATATCGACTTTGAAATTTTCAATTTAGAAGAATGCTTGAATTTTTATAAAATTCTACAATCAGGCGACACTCAGTGTTTCTAAGTTCAAAGCTGGGTGGATATGATTTTTTGGGAATTGAATACTTACCATCGGTGGTGCATGGGCGATGTTGACTTGACCACTAATTGTCGTGTATTGGGCGCTTGCCATGTGTCCATGTCCATAGGGCCTTGCTCCTAAAATTTATCATGCATTCCAAGGCTATTCTCGTGATTTACAGATTATCTAATTTCTTAATAGTTATGTACAAAGAAAATGCCTCCATCCTGCAGACTACTTATGCTGAAAAATTGATCACTCGACGAACGTGAAAAGCTCAAATTGTTATATACAAAAGAAAAAACGAACAAAGAGAATAATTTTCTGAAAGATTTTCCACAAAACAAACGTTCGTGTATTTATAGAGACGAGTGATTATCAACGCTGAAAATGCCTTCAGGTATTTCCGATAACCATCAGTAGTAAATATTCAACTCGTGTGCACTAATATTGATAAGATAATGCGTACCTTCACCACCGGCTCTCATAACAGCTGGAATGGCTACTGACACCGCTTCGACACTACCTCTGCCAACATTACTCGTTTCATGCTGCATAATCGTCGCCCTAACCAAGAAAATTACGGAAATTAATGACTACTTTAATACACAAGACCACAACGACTCCCTCTTCATTGCTCTTCAACCCTGAAACTATCTCGACATCGAATAATTCCTGGGAAAAAAATTCCAAAGAGTTTCACGTCGAAAATTTTCTCAACAACGGAATTCTTTCCCTTCGCATTTCCCAAAAACCTCTCATTACTTTAAACTCCTCAAGTATTTGATCCTCTGCATCCTCAAGAAATCCTCCATTTTCCCCTCATCAACTCATCAACTTCCCTCACGAAATCCCGACAAAAACTTCCATCAAAACCCAATCACATCAGCTATTGACATCCAAACGCCCGCGACACTCCTAACAATCCTAACAGCTCTAATGACCCCTACTTACTTGAGCGGTGATACGCTGTCCTCGACCATGGTCGACCCCTCGTCCCCTTCGATGCCAAAGTGATCCTTCGCCTTCTGCTTCTTGAGAATGATGTCAATATACCCAGCAATTAGCTGTAGAATCTGTTCGGCTTCAGTGGTTTGAACGCTGTAATACTGATCCGAGTAGTCACCAAAGTCAAGGGTGAATGTATTGGGAGATGCGCCCCACCTCCTGACGGTGGTCAACGGCCAGGTTTTGAGGATCTCCTTGGTTCTCTCATCTAGCCTGAGAACCGAGTCCTTGGTGACCCCCAACAGCCGTGGCACCAGCTTGTTCTTTCCCACCATCTTCTCCTTGACGAGGAAGAACGTGACGCCGTAAGTGCTCAAGGACCTAGCTGTTTTGGTGTAAAGAACCTTGGCGTCCAGCTCAGAGAGGCCCATATGCTTCTTGTGCTCGGCAAAGACCTTCTTCTCGATTCCCTTGACCTTCGCATACGACTGCGGTAGGAACTCCTTCAGATCCAAGAAACCGGTCTTGTGCTTGTCCTCTTTGTGATCACCGAACTGTATCTGGCACTGAATTCCAGCGAAGGTGCAGGCCTTCTCTTGAGTTACTGGATGAGTGCCGTCCAGAATGGCGTCCCTGGCTTGAACGTACAGCAGAGAAAGCTGAACTGGATCCCTCGAGTCGATGTTCTGGTCTGAGAAGAAGTACTTTCGTCGGAGGAGAACTGTCTCCGATTCGTCTATACCCTGTTCCCGGAGTGTCTTGCTCGGATCAATCCAGTTGACCTCGTCATCCGTCTTCAGCTTCTTTCGTAGCTGGTCCATCTTGGCATCTCTCTCACCTTTTTCCTCCTTTCGGCGTTTTAAGGTCAGGGTTCCGTAGTTACCGGGCTTTTGGTTCTCAGTTTCCTCGTCGAGGTACTCCCGGACTAGGGAGTACTCGTCGTGATTTGTGATACCAATCTTTGTGCAGATCACCACCATCAGGTTGGCGACTGGTTGGCTGTCGTCTACGAGGAGGGTCTTTAGGGTACCGTCGAGCATGCGAACACGGAGGGTTCGGAGCTTTCGCCGGTACTCGAGGAGATCGCCGTTACGGAGGATATAGTAGTCTAGGTTACGACCGGGTTCCAGCCAGACACCCTTTTTTGCGTCCTCGTCGGAGAGGAAGAGACCGTAGTCTTTGGCTGGAATCGAAACGGCGGGGCTTAGGGGATTTTTATCACGAAATGGGCTGGTTTGGGTGAAAAGTTGACTGATTTGCGGAATTTGCGATATTATGACGTTGAGTCCAACTGGGGGGGTTTGAATTTGGCGCCGAAAAGCGTCTGCCAATTGAAAATTATTAGGTTGGACTCAATTCGAAGTGATCGTGTTCCTACTATCGAAAACTTCTTCTGGTGTTTTTTAAGGATAAAATAGTAAATACAAATTTCTATTCAATTATTCAAATACGCGGAAGAAAGAAGTGATGCTACTGATGATGAACCAGTTTTCTGAGGTTATGTTTTGACTCACGTTGTCTCATTGTCAATGGAGATTCAGAATGGGCGACCTTACGAAGGAAAAGGCTGATTTTCAAAATGAGCAATAATTTTTCGGTCGATATAGGGGATTTCATTTTGGCTAGAATTGAGAATCGACTTATTGCCACGTGTTTACCCATGACGGAAAGCGGACAATATCTACTAGTGAATATTCATACAGGCCAATCCCAATTTCCATTAAATTCTTCTCATACGCGGATGAAAAAAAAGAAGTGGTGACTTTTTTTGAGGTTAGATTTTGACTCACGTTGTCCCATATTCGTTGCTTCTGGCAGTTTCTCACGGATAATTCTGCAGGCATCGTATACCGATGTGCTTGGATCAAACTGCATCATTTTGGTCGCATTTTTCTCCGGTATGGAGATACGGAGTGACAGTGTTGCCATTGCAATTGCTGACGGCGACCGTCTACGTGTACGAAAACCACCGGAGTCACTTGACTGTAAAAGAAAATTTGAAAAAACACATAAATAATCATGAGTGAAGCAGAAATAGAGCAGAAATTCTTCACTTGACGAAAAAAATTATTTTTCAGGAAAATTGATACGTAATTTTTTTTTCATTTTCTCGCTGAAAAAAAAATCAAGGAAATTTGACATCTTTCCATAGGGTAAACAGACCAATAGCTGGACGGCCAAGAAAATGTGGAACTTCATTAAAGGACTTAAAATCAATGGAGTAGCTAAGTGAATAAAAAATGGGGTCTTGACCTGAAAGAATATATGAATTAGAAAAAAACAATAATTTGAAGTGGAAAAAATGAAGAGAAGAATAATTAAATGAGGGAAAAGCGGAATATCGTCCAAATCCCCAATAACTGGACGCTAGGACCAATAGACGGACGGTGGATGGCCAATACATGGACGGTCTGGAGGAATATAGAATTTTCATCCAGTTTATACACACATGTGATTTTTTTTTATTGAATGTGAAGGAATACAAGGCCAAATAGATTCTCAATCTTCGGGATGTGATTCTCCCCCTAAAAATATTGTGCTATTTCCCACATCTGACTCTTTCGGAAGAGAACTTCTTTTTTTTCTCCACGACACTTTGTCACTGATGCTTAGCCAATTGCAGCGCTACGCCACCCACCACTGTACTTCCCAAATATTTTTTTTTTCGCTGTAATGTTGATATTTCGAAAAAAAACTTCATTACATGATTATACATAAGTGTTATTACTGATAATGATAAGAACCCGAACAGTTTTCATTGTATTATTTATAGAATATTTAATAACAGGTGAAATGGTCCAGGTATTCGTCCGAGTCCAGCTATTAGTCTGTTCACCGTCTATCCACCCGAAGGATTTTCCTTAAAAAATGAGAGTAAGTGAAAATGCACAAGTGGGACTTCATGACTATCTCCATATCGATCCTAACATTGTAACTCAGCTCCCGGTGGTGTATTTTGTCGTATTGAATTTGCCCACGGGTCAGTTACTCTTCCTCACGTTTTTTGCAGCTGTGTAGTTACATCGAGTATAGTAAAAAAAAAGGAAGAGAGGAAGATGGGAAGATAGTTGAAACTGTCAATGGGCTTCAGGGACACGAGTTTCATAGGCACCCGATGGGGTCGGTGGACTAATAAAAATAAATTGTTCCTTCTCCGCCTACTAATTAAGTCGTTTACTACCTCGTACCCAGGCCAATCCCTTCCCCCTTCCCTTTTTTTTATTCGTCGTTTGGATGTCTTTTCGATTCGAGATAAACAATTTGTATGCGAGGCACGTGCCGTCAGTCGGGTAAGGGTACTTTCATTATCGGTGGGATGGAGAAAAAATACCGGGGAAATTAGGAAAATTAACATTTAAGGATATTCAAGTATCTTTTACAGTTTCGTACAAACTACGCTGCAGATTCAGCCTTTTTCAATCATCAAATTTGTTAATTAAATTGGGTAAGAAAAATTGGTAAAAAATCATGAATATTCAAGCGTCATTAAAATTACATTTTGCACGGAATTATTATTTTTTTTAACATTTGTTGTTTTATAAATAAATAATTCAGTAGCGAAGTGGTCAAACGGTTGAAGAGGATTTTAGTTATTGGCCAGTTTTCAATGTATATCTCGAAATCTAAGGGAGATAGCAAAATTGTTCTCATAACCTTTTTAGTAGCACTCAATTCGCTCTACAAAAAAGGTTATTATGAAAATTTCGCTATATCCCTTAAATTGGCAAATATTTCTGGAAAACTCATGCAACTGAAGACTAAATTCACTCAACTAAACTCAACTAAATTGACGTAAACCGTTTGACTACTTCGCTACTGAATTAAAATTGTTTTAACTTTCGGAAAACTTTTGTTTTCAAGTATGAAATCGATTTCTGGTTAAATTCTGAATATGAATCAATTTGTTACGATTCCGAAAAAATGATTTTTATGGTGGAAAATTAATTGTTTATAAATCTCTCTATATTATAAAAATGCAATCGATGTTTGGTAATGAAAATTTGACCCTCTATTCAAAAAATTGACAAAAATTTAAAAAATTTTGTCAGCAATCGATTTCGCGAAGGATAACCTTAAGCCTGGGAACAAGGATAATCTTTGCTTAAGATCCTAGATTATACAAATCTTTGTTTTATATTCCTTTTTAAAAAGATAAATTTTTTTGAAAGAGATAAAAAAAGATTTATACAATCCAGGATCTTCAGCAAAGATTTACTAATGAATGGATTCTGTTCTGCATACTTTATGGAACAATTTAACTATCTTGTGACATGAAGCAATCATTTAGTGTGAAATAATATAATTCTAGCTGTAAAAAGTGATGGTAGAAACGTGACATTGAATTATATGTTCCTTTGATTGTTTATTGTTACTTTTATTATTTTCAAAAATAAATTAAAGGATAAAAATTACAATGAACCACTAGTACTCGAAATTGAGAGGCCAAAATTAAGGATCAGAAGTGAAGGGTCAAGATAAGGGTCACGAGGGTCATATGGGGTCAAATATGAGTGAATAATAAGAAAAAATGACAAATTTCGAATGGTTGTACTTCACTAGGAAAGGCATTGATTGGAGCCTTTCTTGTGAAACGAGATTCGTTAACTATTAACGAATGGTAGAGTTGAATATGACCAAATGAATATTCGTTAATAGTTAACAAATGGTTCACTTGAATGGCGAAAGTCAACTCAAACAAGGCTCCTCAAATGTAGATTCATTAACTATTAACGAATGAACATTTGGTGGGACTGAATAGACCCTAACCTCCAACAAAATCCATTCGTTAACAATAACTAATCCGTTCTATCAGTGTGATTGTAAACTGTTCGCAGCGTGATGTTTTGCTTTTTCATTTCTCAGATGCATGGAGTCTGTTGAGAATGACTGCCACTGATATCAGTTATCCAACACTAGTCAAGAATATACAACTTAAACATACCTAAGGAGCTGGGAGGGGGAGCGAGCGAAGGGGGGCGCAGCCCCCCGGGGTTGGCGAACAACGCGAGCAGAGGGCGAAGCCCCTCAGTTATTTATAAAAAATGCTCGTAATTTTCAAAAATTGCAATTTTTAAATTATTTCATCAATCTTCCTTCAAAAGTAAATTTTCTATTCTTTTCAGATTTTTAAAATATTTTCTAACGATTTAATTTTAAGATTCTAATTCAGACCTGCAAAGTTTAAATAATAAAATCATTGTAAAATGTCCGGAAACTTAGTGTCAAATGGGGCTCAATTGAAAGCTCTGATGTTCGGCTGCAGAAATCGAAAAACATTTCACTGCAGAAAAAATAGTCAAAGTTAAGGCCCGAGTGTACTATCTTTCAAATGTTATCTGGATTTTTTTTCTTTCGTAATCCAAAATTGTCAATTGAGTGGTCCATCATGTAGGAATTCCCAAAAATTATGATAGAATGATAAAAAAAAATAGAAAAAATTCTGAATTTTGTCAAAGAGCGTTTTTAATTGAGATTCAGAATGAATCTCAAAAAAAATCCCCAAACCGTAGTTAGTTGAAAAAAGTAGAAATTACAAATATCTGATTCGCGGTGGCAAATTATCTATTAGCTGTCATTTTCCATGGTGGATAACAAAACACTAACTCCTCATGGGAAGTGACAGCTAAGTATCTCAATTTTCAAAACAGTGGTATGTAGTCATCTGCTATTTTTATGTGATAAAAGTGTGATTAAAAAATTCTCCAAAATATTACAACTTTTTTCAAAAAGCCTTTTCCGTAATAAAAAATATCTCTGTGCAGTGTGGGAAAAGATTTACGAAATCAGTCTTCCCCTTGCATGATATTAGGTGACAGGCCGCCATTTGTCACCGTAAATCAGATACATTTTTCAATTTCTTGTTAGTCTTTCTGAATATAAATTAAAAATGCTCTGCATGCTCTCAAACTTCTGCATGATGCAGGACTCAATTGACAATTTCAGATGACGAAAGATTTAAAAAAAACATGGAGATAACGAAAGATAGTACACCCGGGCCTTAAACTTTTTTTTAAATTTATAAATAAGAGAGAAATTAGGAAAAACAGACCGAAAATCTCAATTCATTCTTCTCAAGGGATGGGGTTTAGGGTATAAGGCATAAAAATCAAGGTCCGATCCTTTTCCTCAAACAAAAAAAAGAAACAATATCCCCTACTTTCCACAAGTGTCACGAACCTCCACGCGCATTCTCCCTCGAAGAAATAATTGCCAGCCACTTGATACCTTTGAAGCGTAACCCCTGAATTGTCGAGATTTTCGAAAACAAAAAAAAAGGAAATAGAAACGGCCAATTACAGTCGAATTCTTTCGGTCGTTGACTCTCAAAACAGAATGGGGATGAGAGGTGGTGTGAGTGGGTGGCTCTGACAGTGGCTATCGGGAGGCATAAATTCGTTGCAAGTATCCACGCCAATGGAGACTACTCTTCCACCCTTACTGAGGTTGCCTGGCAACCCTGGGCTCTGACTGTGTCAAACTCAAGCACAACCGATCTCTATTTTCACCCTCCCTTCCCACCCTCTCAACCTATCATCGTTTCCTTTTTTTCGCTGTATCTCACTTCTCACCTTGCCAATCGATCCCTCTTCTCACCTAATTTTCTGTTTCAGTAGAAAGCCGATGGACGACTGAATTGAAAAATTGGAAAAAATTGAATAATCGATTATGGAGAATTTTTGAATGAGAATTTGATGAAGTTTGGATTGAAATTGACGAGATTATCTCGAGACCTAGAAGCCGTAAAGAGATCTTTTTGCTTCCCAATGGAAGCTTTGTTCGATCGCCTTTAATTAAAATTTAATTTATCAATTAGTTTCTTTAATTTTCGAGTTTTTTCGAAAATCCGTTGTCCCACGATAACTAAAAAAATGTTCTGAATTAATTAAATGATGACTTAAAATGGTTGTTTCAATGCCATCAAGTCGAAGTTAAAAGATAATTACCATAGCTCTATTGGTTAATTTGATTTTTATGATGATTGT